CACATGGCTGAGGTCGTCTGGGTGTAGGCAACTGAATGGTGGTGGTTCGCTATCCTGTTGCTGGCCGGAGGTGCGACTTCCAGCAATTTGTCCATTTTTCGAGTAGCCGATTTTGCTTGTTGATTTATGCCGAATTATTGGATGATATGGGGAATTCTTCGAATGGAATTGTAGAGGGTGTTGAGGAGATTGTGTTGGTACCAATGTCCGGAGGTTGTAGTGGTGGAGAAGAGTAGATGTGGTCATCAGACGGTGGAGGTGGTGGAGGGTGGTGGAGGAGAAGAGAGAGTTTAGGAGCAGATTGCTATGTATTCTTTATTTTTCTTTTCTTTTCTTTTTTGTTTTATTTATATAGAATGGTATATTTGTCATTTTATGTTAAAAATTGGTGAAAATGACGTTCAGCGCAAAGAGTATGAAAGGTAGGGACGTTTTGCGTCAAAAAACGAATGGTAATGACGTTTTCCACAAAAACCTTCAAATGTAGGGACATTTGGCGCCAATTACCCATATATTAAATATCATTTCAAATGATAATAATTTTTTGGACGATTTTAATCTTACTACAATTCAATTATTTCAATAATATATTACTTTTCGTTTTTCAATATGTAATAAATACTAAAAAATTATTGTCATGTATGAGTTTCGAGTTATTAATTCTCAATTAATTAACATTCACATGTATTTTGACTTGATGAATCTTGATCTACATGAATTTAGAGTTAATATGGATGAATTTATTTCTATTCATGTATTTAGAAATTTTAATGGGTGTTTAAATTCATATATTAACAATTAATTCTTATGTACTAAATGTATTATAAAAATGTTTCTTATTTGTAATATTTTTATCCTTAATTTTATTTTTAGTTCGTTTGAGACTCATCAAATCCTCCCGACAAATTGGTATCAAATATTATTTTTACAGTACTTATAAGTTATTTCATAATAACGTGCAATACACGTTCAACTATGACTAGTAGATTCAAATGATTTGATGGTTGGTAATTGAAGTCATAGTCGTTAAAATTGGACTGAATTAAACTAGCCGATCTGAACGGTTAATTGACCCTAGAACCGACTTGAGCTACTGTGTTGGACTCCATGGCAAAGGATCCGGCCAAAGCCAGTAATAATTTGACGGGTTTGCAGTGAAAATCAAAACCCGACGAACTGATCCAACACCTAAAAGGCTAAAACACTAGTGCATGGTTGCTTTTGGTTAATTTGTGGACCAGAATGTATATCAAGGTAAAGTTTCCGCACAAATAATGAAGAGGATATATAAGTCATTCGTAACATCATTTTCCTATTTAAATTATATTTTATTCAAATATAAAGTTTAGCATTGATCCACCAGTTCAACAAGTGATCCAGCGATTGAATCAGTGATCAATGGTTTTTTTCAGATCAGCATCCGACTCGAGTCTTATAACTATAATTTAAGCTTTCTTACCACATACTAATTCGTCAAATATATGTGTCGAATCAATTGAGTCACTTGCATGTCTAGAAAATCCAATTAAGAGAATTTGTAACATTTATGGGCAAGTATTTATGAATCGTTTATGAACGGTAAGAAAAAAATGATCAAATCAAAATTTTCCACAAATTTCATAGTATTCACAAGTACTACATATTTATTCACCATTTATTTCTATCTATTTATATATATATAACTTTTTATAAACAAAACAAGCTTTAAGAAACTATTTTATAAGATACTCTTTATTTTAAATAGTAAATGCTTGAATAGAATTCCAACAAACTTTTTATTTTAACTTTTTAAAATAGACAGTGAGTTTGACTCCTCACATGCTTTCGACATTTGTAAAGTCAAACTAATTCTCCATTTGTATTTTTTAATAAATTATAAGTTTCAATACTCAATTCTTTGATTATTTAAGTAATATTTGAATACATTTTAGCCATGGCACCTCGTTTGGTCGTATAAAATATATTATGCCCTTGTTTGATTCCAATTCTTTCCAAAATACATTTTTCTATTTCTTCTTTTCAATCACACATTTTTCAAAAAAATAATATTACACGCAAACCCAAAACTTTTCTTTATTTTTTAACCACACATTTTCTATCAAATCACTATTTCAAAATGCATTTTTACAAAAAAAAAAAAAAAAAAAATAATAATAAAATAATAATAAANGAAACTTAGGGTAAAATAATAAATATTTATTAACAAAAATTAAATGAAGAGCCAAACTAAATTGTATTATTAAAGTGTACAAAAAGTTTTCAAAGATACCTTTTAAAATTTAAAAGACTTAGAAGATGTATAGATGCATAAATCTACAATTGATTCGGAAGGTGGGCAACGATGATGTTTTTTATTGCAACGATGAGATAGGGAAGGTGGCGGATGATTGGATGATATGATTGTATATGACGACGAATGAAAGTGACGGAGATATCAATAAAATATCCCAAATTGGATGAATACCAAGGAAGCTTTGTAGGCTAAATAATAAGTTTTTCCTCCTCTTAAATAGTCAGATTGCCCTCCTTTTTAAAAGACTCGTGAAGGCGTTTGTTCCTCAAATAGTGGAACACTTGGACGACTGATTAATCGGAATTCTAATGAGATGGTAGTTTTGAAGTCTCGAAAGACTCGGCCATCTTTGGATGGAGTAAGCATAGCCATTTGAAGGAGTGTTACTTTTGTCACACGTGGTAAGACTCGATTTTACTCTTAGCTCACAGCTCCTAAAAAGATGAAGGAAGTTGAATTGATTTGCACACTGAGAAATTTATCATTTAAACTCCATGTGGTACTGTGCGATAGGTAGGACGTAAAGCAAGATCGATAAGTGGGTCAAATATG